GTTATCAAATGCACTTCCAACTAAACAATGCTCACATGCATTAACTTCACCATAATTTCAATTTAATAATACTAATCAAATTCTAATTAACTTTCTTTTCTCACTCATGCGCACTACCTGCATCAGACAAACTAATTCGCCTCAAAACAAATTCTGCAACTTGCGTTTAAAGAGTTTTTTTATTTTCTTTTTCCTTGTATTTTATATCTAATTCATCTACTACTTGTACAGTATGTATATGTATATATTATAATTGAGCTTAATTACAGTATTTTTCATTAATAAATTATTTTATTTACTGCAACTGAATATAGTGTCCTTTTTTTTAATGGAAAAGTAGAATGCGCGCCAATGTTGATCCATAGGTACAAAAAGTGATGGCATTTGGGCCCATATGTGGAACGGTTTTTTGGGCCCATCGTTACACTTTATGTGAATTTTTATCACCTCATATTTTCCTTCTGCACCTCTTGAAATATTAAAATTACCAATTTGTCTTTGAAGATGATTTTTGGATTATTCGGAATTACAACGTACTGGTTAGTTGAAATGCGTTGGATTGTCTATGAAGCTAATTCAATCAAAATTTAAATACCGAATGTGGCCATAATAAATAAAAAACATAGCTTGGCTCGTAAACAATGGTAGACATTGAATTTTTTCTCTCGCAATTAATAACTTGGATATTAGATATTATGACAACTAATCCTACGTGAGATTTAGGTGGTAATTATATCTAAGTAGTTGGAGAGTAAGATATGTTATAGTACTCTATTAATGGTTTTCATTTCTCACCATACAAAAGATAGCACATTATTCCAATTTTCAAAACCGTACCTACATTCATTTCAATCTTAAAAATAAACTTTATCTTACCACCTTTTTATTTTGGATAGAAAATTTCAACAAACTTTTTTTAGGGATTTCTTGGTTACTTTTAAACTTTATTTTTTTAAATATATATTTGTTTTCTTTGCATAAAAAACTTTATGCATATAAGTGTGTATTTTTTTTGTTAGTTACATACTTTGCTATTCAAGTACACCATTTTGTGAAATTTATTACTTAAGTTTTTTCCCACGTATTTTATTACCATAGATATACTTTTTTACATTTTATCAAATAATTTATTATTAATAGTTGACAGTCACTTATTATTAATTGACTTGTGACTTGACATAATAACTGATGACAAAATATTCTAACAGTGGTTGGACAAACATGTAGCATTGACATGTTACCATACATAAAATGTGTAAAAAATGAAATTAAGATGATAAAATCTATGAAATTTTAATAATAAAGTGGTAAATGTTCAGGTTTCCAAAGAAAATGGGTAGAATATTTAATAAAAAAAGTAAATAATGAAAATAACAAGAATGTCAAGGACGATATTGGAACACTTACGCTTTCTTATTCAACAACTCTAAACTAGTCATCATTTGGTTTATTTAATTAATGGATGAGAAATATTCTATATTATTAAATTAAAATTACATGTATTAAATTAAATAATTATAAATATTAGTATATTTCTGGTCTCCTGAATATGATTATTGTATGAAAAACCTGTTAAAAGTTAATATGATAATTTTATTTGCTGAATATTTGTATTTTAACCGAATAAGTTTGTATAATTTATAAACTATTGTTAGCTGTGTAATCGTCATTGTTAGACTCGTGGCTATGTAATGATCTTCCAAACAGGTAATATGATTGATAAAGTATTCTTTAAAATATTATATTACAATTAAGGTTTAATAGAATTTTTTAATTTTTATTTAAATTATTGGATTTATTTATTTATTTTAATGTAGGTTTTTTTTAGAATAGTTAATATATTCTCATTCATTAAATTATTGTTTAATAAATTATGTGACACCAATGTTACGTGTTATTTAAATTGATAAGTCGTTACTTTTTAATATCATCAATTAAATTAAGACAACATATTAATTATATTTAATAAAAAATTACAGAATAAATAATAAAAAATATCATATAAAGTAATTCTAACAAAATAAGATAAAAAATATTAAACCTATAATTAATTTAAAAAAATGGTTAGTATTTTTAAGAGATGAAATACGTAATAACAAATACAGTAATAATACGTATAACATGTTTTACTCATTTACTAAATTAGTCATATGACTTATTTTGTTGTTTGGAAGTTGTACAGTAAAAAATATATTGAAGTTCTTATCCTAGTTTGAACATTTTTATCATTTTTTTTTCGCATTTGACCAATAACTTTAAAAACCTCGCATCTTTTATCATTTTATATTTTTAAATTTTACATATTCTACCTCTAATTAAATGTGAACGCAATAATATCATATGAATGGTTAACGTTAAAATTAAAAATGTTATCATTGAAATATCACATCACCAAGACAGGATATACATCACTCCTCAACTTTTTTATGTCAATAGTCAACGAACAATAATTATCAATCAAGTAACAATGATAAATAATTAGGTTAAGTAAGTAAAATTTGAAATAGATGTTTTACATTTACAAAACAATAATAATTAATTAGGAAATTGTACAGTTAAGATAAATATTTAAGATGAGTGGTTAAAGTAGTTTAAATACTTGATTTTCATGTAAATTGTTGAAAATTTATATATAATTTAAACTGATGTATGTATATTTTGAAAACTTAGATGCCGTTTCTAATATTATATAATTATATAAAAGGATTTATTTTTTGTACCTATATATTTTTTAATTTTATCCTTTAATAAATACTTATATTTTTAAATTAAAATAATTTCCTTATTAATTTTATCTAGTTTTCAAACTAGAATAACTATTTATAAAAAATATTACTTATAGAATAAATAAAAACTATTCATAATAAAATCCTAAAAGATACTTTTATTTGTTTTTATAATTATAATTTTATTTTTTAATCATTGAAAATGTAAACACACACATGTGTAATGCATGTGTTTTTATTAATTATAGACTAATTCACTTTATTAAATATTGTATGGATATTTTATCGGATGAGAGCATAATACTTCATATTTAATCTTTTATTTTGTGAAGATGGGTTGACACCTGCGAGTTAATTTGGCTCATCATCTGTTTGGATTAGGTTAGGTTGAATTTTTTTTGAAATATTGATACACATTATTTTTGAGTCTGATTCACTAAAAACTCGATTCACCCAGGTTGAACTTGTGGTGAGTCGGGTTGGCTCACCCAGATTGAACCCGTTGTGAGTAGGATTGACTCACTCAGGTTGAACCCGTGGTGAGTCGGGTTGATTCACCAACCCACATAATTTTTTCTAATAAGTATTTTTTTAAAATTAGTCATTTTACAAAATATTGAAACAAAGGTACTAGTGAAAGTTTTTTTTGTATAGAATAATTAGGCAACATAAAAATCTACAAATCTATATTTGTTAATTTAATTTTAATGCAAAAACAAATTTAAATCTATATGAAGCCATTAGAAATTTTGTTGAGGTGATTTTGTGATATTTTTGTATGAATGAAGTGTTGTTTTTTATTATATTAAAACATTTTCCTTTTATTTAGATTTGAATTAGAAAAATATTATTATTTATTTTTTTAATTGAAAAGGAAAAACTTGTAATTAAATAAATCCGTAAACCAATTCATTTAATCTCCAAGTCGGACTGAATTCAAATTTTTCTAAATTATTAAGTAAGTTGGATCTCACTTACCGGTGATCCGTTTTAACAATAATATTTAATTTATTATTAAATAGATTTCCTATGTTTTAAATAAAGTAACGTTAAACATCTCATTAAAAGTTTAATATTTTAATAGTTATATTAGGTTATTAATTATTTATCATCATATAAAAATTTATTATAAAATAAAATGAAATAAAAAATAATGAAGACGATACATATATTATGATAAAATTTATTATGCAGAGACATGGATAAACTATTATGCATGTTGCAATTTAAAATTTTGAGTATTTTAGCATTTTTTAATTTAAATTTAATAATTCAGATTGATTAATCTTATATTAAAAAATTTATTATTTTTCTATCATAGACCTTAATTTTGTGTAAGTATAGAGATGATAATAAGGATAAGGACTGAGTATAGGAAGGATTGAGCATAGGTAGTGTATACTTATTACTGGTCTCACAATAAAAATATTTGTTACGTCGAAGCTTTGTTTAAAAAATATTTGTGGAATTTAAAAAACTCGTAAGTATCATGATATCAATAGATATTTAAAAAAATAAAATTTACAAATATTTAAAATTAATTTATAATAAAATTATAAAAATATAAAATATAATGTGAATTAAATTAGATATAAATTAAAATTTAATTTAAACTCGTTTATATTAAATTATTCGTTATTCTTCAGATATTTTCGCTTAAAGTGTTTACTTATTATGTGTAACATATATTATCGAGGGATGCAAATATTTTTACTATCCTAATGTCCGTGGAAGAGATTATAACTTATTTAAAATTTACACGAAATTGTAATTGTCGAAAATCTGTTTTAACATGTTTTACAAATTCGTTTTAAAGAAGTGAGAAGTGAACTTTCTCCAACAAAAGAAATATTATATTACTTTTATTATAGTTTTGTTCAATAAATATCAAAGTAATTAAAATCAATGACAATTTTTTTTATTATATGTAACAGGTATTATAAATTACATCTTTAATTTCTCGATTCCTTCCTAACTGAAGAAAAAACATTTAGGTGCATTCCATATCCATAGTTTACCAGAAAAACACTTTTAACATTCTTCTTTACTCCTTTTTCGTTCATATCAAAACCGAGCCCAAAGAAGTAAAAGAGATTATTCAGGTGAACCGTTTTATCTTTTATTTAATGTTCAGACGTAGAAAAATAAAATAAAGTATCCTTTTAAATACGTATCCAAACGCGCTTATTGACGGATATCTTTGTTAAGGAAATACAAATCAATTTTAAGGTATAGCACCGCCCTAATGTGCAACGAATAACTTTGTGTTTGGAGAAAGAAAAAGAAAAGGGAAATACTGAAAGAGGGCAAACAAATGAGGAAACCGCATAAGCACGTCACAAGGAGATAAAAAGGCAAAAAAACTCAACTTACTAAACAAATCTCGCTCCAACCTTATTTTTATCGAAACCCTGTTCCTCAATCGCAGTTGTTCTGTTTCACAAAATAAAAGGGAAACCAAACCACACTGTTACACAACACCATCACACCAAGAAGAAGAAGAATCTGAAGCGAAAAGCCCCAATCCAATCGCGCGTTCCACATATGTAGGAAAAGGAGTTCAGTGATGGAGAGAAGAAAATGAAAAGGCTTGAGATCGCGGAAAGGGTGATCGTAGATGCTTGTCTCGGGAGTGTCCTCATCATCATGGGATCTCAAATGGCTCCTGCAATTCGTGTTCTCCGCTTTCGTCTTGGCGATGGGGTTGCACGCGCTCGTGAAGAACACCGCCTCCAAGTACTTCGAGGTTGACGCCACTTTCGAAGGGGAACAACACCAGCACCAACGCCACGACGCCATGCCCGGTCTTCTCATGGACGATTCTGTCTGCGCCGTTTGTCGCAACCCCGGCAGCAAGAAGTGTTCGCGATGCAAATCCGTTCGTTACTGGTTTGTATATTTCAACGACAATAATATAATTTGTTAACAACGTTTGATCTGTTTATGTTGTCGGTTTTTTCAGTGCTGTTGCGAATTTGAGGTTAACCTTTTTATATTGACTTTTATTTATTTGATTGTGTGTATGTGTTTCTCCGAGTTGAATAAAATTGAAAAGAGAATTTACTTTGGATTGGTTTTTTCAGCTCACAAGCATGCCAACAGGCACACTGGAAATCGGAGCATAAGATGAGTTGCAAGGAGTTTCAAAAGCAAGGAGTTTCACAAACTGGATTAATTAATCGAGGGTTCAAAGCTTCAGCTGCTGTGAATAGAAGTACAACATCAATTGCTCTCATTCCCGAATGTGGTCGCGGAATTTCTAGGCCTATCAAGCAGCTTAAGGATGTAAGAGTGTCTTTGGTTTCTATTTTTAAAATGCGATTGAATGAGGTTGTTTAGACAGGAGGTGGAGGAACAACGTCTCTTGGGCATTTCTGTTTTTTTGGAAACAATTTTCAAATAGATTTTTAACAACAATTTTATTTCTGGGTAACGTTAAATTGGTTTAGAAAACAGTTCTTAAAACCAAAAGTTAAGAAGGAAATCAAACATGACAGTAGTTTTCTCTATGTTTTTCAAATTATGAGTATATTGGTAAGATTACATGATACATTCCTCACCGAGTCGAATCTTTATGTTTTCTGCCCTTTGCGCTCTAATAATCTGTTTTTGGGTTTACAGGTTCTTTTTCCTTATGATGATTTTGTCAATTTGTTTAACTGGGATAAGCCAGGATTTCCTCCATGTGGACTGTTAAATTGTGGAAACAGGTTTACCTTCTTTACACGCTATACCACTGATAGATTGGAATTAGAGGATTCTGTGGAATTTAAATTGCAATGTAAATTTGTGCAGCTGCTTTGCAAATGTGGTTCTTCAATGTCTCTCTTTCACAAGGCCACTTATTGCCTACCTATTGGAGAAGGGGCACCGCAGTGAATGTAATGTCACGAATTAGACTTTTAATTGTTGGTGGATCTTGGTTATTCCTCATACTTACTCGTTTGCATATGGCTTTATAGGCTGTCATAATGATTGGTGCTTTCTATGTGAATTTGAAACCCATGTTGAAAAAGTAAGACTAAGTTCTAAAGCGTTTTCTCCGATGAATATTCTGTCTCGTTTGCCTAATATTGGTGGTACACTGGGTTATGGAAGACAAGAGGATGCACACGAGTTCATGAGGTTCCTTTGTTCTTGAATAAGTGTCATTTGACTTTCCATAATAAATTGTGCATTAACTATTTTGAAGGGTGTGTCTTATAGGTTTTCCCAATATGTTAATGATGTTTGTAGGTTTTCTATTGATGCCATGCAATCAGTTTGCCTTGATGAATTTGGTGGGGAAAAAGCTGTTCCTCCAAAGCTTCAGGAAACGACTCTTATCCAACACATTTTTGGTGGCCACCTTCAATCTGAGGTTAGACTTCTTACTAGACCAAAATCTGAGTTTTCTGGTTTGAGTATTTTTTTTATGTATTTTAAAGAAATGGCAGTTTTAAAGTAAATATGTTTCAAAATTTTGGGTATGTTTGCCAATAAAAGCGTAAACCTAGAAAATTATGTTAGCCACTTTTGAAGCTTAAATGGTGGGTGGATACATTATATTGCACATTTCATTAAGGAGTAATGGGGTGCTCAATTTAACCCGTAACCTGGAATTGGTCAATTGTGGTGAGTGAAAAAAGCTGAACAGCGACTTAAAAGAAGGATAGTTTTTTGTTGTCTGGCTGAGTTCTAACCGTGAGTAAGATTCAACCTGTAATGTAGTTTTCTTTGAATCTCCACAGGGATTAGTCTTTGTTCATATCAAATATTTTGAAATCTTTAAGCGTTCCTTTTTCTTTGAGCGATCATCGATGCTGCTGACACTGCCGTCTGTCATGTTTTTTGCTAAAAAACAGGTGATTTGTACCGAATGTGAGAAGAATTCTAATCAGTATGAAAATATGATGGATTTGACAGTTGAAATTCATGGAGATGCTGCTTCCCTGGAGGAATGTCTGGACCAGTTTACTGCCAAAGAGTGGCTTCATGGGGATAATATGTATAAATGTGACGGGTAAGGTTGCTTGGAAAAATATGTATAAGTATGGTGAATTTTATTACCTTGTATATAGAAATTCTGCTTCAAAAGTGATCATTGTTATAACATTAACGCCTGTATTAGAATAATACTAAATTAATGTTAGAATATTTGGTTGACCATCCATATGTGCTCATTAGATTAGAATAATCTATTACCGATTAATAGGCTTGAGATTAGTTTTTAGCCTATTGGTATTATTCTATAACTAACTTCAGATCAATCAATAAACACTAACAGAATTTCTCTCACTGCTTCACTTCAGGTTAATTACTTCTGTTTTTCCCCGTTTATACTATAATTTTTAGTCAACTTGTTTCATATTTAAATGTGTCTTTAACACATTTTCTCTCACTGCTCTTAGTTCTTTCTCAATAACCATAATGTTTTTGAATTGTAAAAAAAATATGAAATTAATTTATTTCTGTTTTTGTCCTGATTATGATGCAATTTTGGGTCAACTTATTTCATTTTTAAATGTGTGTTTGTTAATTATCTATCTTTGTTTTTTAATTTGTGTGTATATTCTGATGTCTCAGCCGAGGCACTAAATTTGGAGAGCAATTTGTAAGTAGGGAATTTGTATGCTAAAAATTGGCTTTTTCATGAAATCTAGAATGCCAATGTTAGTGTTTAATGCCTAACTCAATTTTACAAAATCGATTTGTAAAGTGAAAATTGCATCTTGGTGATATATTATAATATGGACTTATTTTTTAGTTGATATAAGATTTCTAACACATTCTCTCAAGTCAAGGAATGAACATCTCAAGCTTCAGATTAAATATTTATGGGTAAATCTAACAAAAGTTAAATAATGGTGACATAATAGCCCCAAAGAAGTTGAATAAGATAGGTTGTAAATGATACCATCTTAGTAAGTGGGTTTATCTCTAACGCAATTCTATAAAAACTAACTTGTAAGATAAGGAGTGCACTTTACTTATATATTATAATTTGACTTTATTTTTAGTCAATATGAGATCTCTAACATTGATGGTGTGCTTTTGCTGGCCAATAGATATTGTCATTTTAACTGTGTTTTTTTTTTCTTTTTTCTGTTTGCAGGTGCAAGGGCTATGTCAAGGCATGGAAACGTCTCACAGTTAAACGAGCTCCAAATATTCTTACAATTGCCTTGAAAAGATTTCAGGTCTGACTAATTTTATTCAGATAGTTTTGCTGAGTTGTTGATAGATGCTGTAAGCAATATAAATATCAGTTCTTATGTTTAGTTATAATTTCTCCTTCACAAATTGTGCCTCATGTGGTGTAAATTGTCTAGATGTCAGTATACCTTCACTATGTATCATACTTTGTCATCACATTAAGAGTAGAGTATTTCTTGAAATTGACAATTTTTCTCATCTAGTTTTTCTGGGTTGTTGTGAACAAGCAGAGTGGGAGGTTTGGGAAACTTAACAAGAGAGTAGCTTTCCCAGAGACTTTAGACCTCAGCCCTTACACGAGTGAAGTTGGAGACGGATCTGATATTTATAAGCTATACGCTGTCGTGGTACATATTGATATGCTAAATGCTTCATTTTTTGGTCATTACATCTGCTACATCAAGGATTTCAGTGGGAACTGGTATAGAATAGATGATTGGAAGGTAAATTTCATTGTCTCTTGATGCAGCTTTGAACATTTTCCTTTTTGGTTTACTGTAATCCGTGGTGTGTTTGAAGTTCAAGTACCCTTATTTGAATTCGATTATGATGCTCAGGTCGTTGGAGTGGAGTTGGAAGAGGTGCTTTCTCAGAGCGCTTATATGCTGTTGTATAGCAGGTATGCTAGTGACCATGAGTTAAAAAGACGACTCTTGTGTCTTTCATGGGTTGCATAAAGGATGAGATGAGATACTCTTTGAACTCAGGCTAACCTCATTTCATTCAATTTTCTTTCGATATAATAACAGGGTTCATGCTCGAGCTTCAGGACTTCAAACTATAGTCTCTTCAGAGACAACAGAAGTGCAGCCTAGCTCAACTGAGCATGCTGAAGGCCTCCCGGAATCGAGAACTGAGACTAACAGTGGAGGATGTGAGTCCTCTCCATCTAACAGTAGTCCAGAATTTATGGTTCCCTGCGAAAACATGCCTTTGAGTGAAATAAACTCCGGAGTCAAAAGAGAGCAGTCGAAGGATGTTGAAATTATTGAGGTAAATGGTAATGACTCTGTCTGTAACGGTGTTGAATCATCATATATGCACGGTTCTGAAGCTGACAGAGATATGGTGGACGTAGAAGATTCAGATGGATCAAATACATGCTCATCTGTTTTAGAAGAGATTTCAGTCTGCATGGAAGAGCAAGATGACAGTGATTTGACTAATTCGAGTTGTCCTTCGTCTTTGCCTAATAAATACTCTTCTGTTTCGGTGGATTATGAAAACGCAAGGGAAGATTCAGATTCAAAGCAGCCGGTAGATACGATTAAAAGCATAGTAACAGCAAATGGCTTTGCAGATCATAGCAACGGTTATGTGAGTGCAAACAAATATGATGATGTCCCAGTGGAAGACGGTGATGATTATTTTTTGACTGAAACAACAACCTCAGCAGTTGTAAAGCATGGGAAATTGGCCTCCGACAAATATGAAGATGACAAAGGAAACAGAGTTAAGGAAGTGGAAATATGAGGGAATAAATTGATAATGTAGGGGCAGCTGTTTTTGTCATTTGTTAATATCAATTTGATTATCCCATCATCAGAAAGAGGAGGTGAGTTGGGAAATTTTTGTCTGGGGTTTCATTATTTGTTGGAACCTTGGATCTCATTGTAACACTTCTACGTGGATTCTCTAATTATATCATAGTGACCTCCTGGTTTTTCTTTTATGATCTAAGTCTGAAGCATGTAAAAGTTATTTTGGTAAAATAGCCTTAAACTCGGTGCTTCACAAGATTAGATGATTAACCCATTTAAAGTTGTAAAATAATAAATAATGACATGACTAATTATTAAATCATATTTTAATATTAGGTAATTACATACTTCTATAATTTTAAATTTGCACTTTTTAAATATTTACAATCCAATTTTTTCTAATAAATTAATTTTCAAGTAATGTTTATGTTATTTTTTTTTTCATCATAACATAAAATAGTCATTGTTTTCAATAAAATTAGTGAATGTTTTATTTAAAATTAAATTAAATAATTGAATAATAAGGGTAAAACAATAATCTAAAAAAGTTGTTTAAAAAATAATAGCGGATATTAATATTTTAATTTGAAAGATAAATTATAAAATATAATAATTTTTTTGAAATAATAATAATAATACGAATAATTTATCAAAATCAATTAAAAACTATGAAAAGAAATTATATTGCTAAACAGATGAAATAATTTTATCAAATTATAAATAAGAGACGTTTATTTAGATACCGAAGACTATCATATGAAAATAATAAATAAATACCAGATTAGTTTCTATTTATCAAATTATAAATAAGAGACGTTTATTCAGTGTTTTTTTAATATTTAAGAAATTATTTGCATATTGTGTTTACTTAAAAAAAAATCTATTTAAGAGAAAAATTATACTATAATTGGGGGCTTATTCCAAAAACAAACATAAAGACATTGCACTGTTATTTCAGTTTCTTTCGAAAAAGACAAATAACATAAATTCTGTAAGATTTTGAAAGGGACTAATAACTGAAACATCTTTCTTATTCTGCTTTCTTTTAGCATTTGCTTGGAATAGGGAGAAGAAGTATTATGACCAGCTAAAAGAATTCGGGCTTAATTAAGTTTATCATACAGATATTTATAATTATTTTTATTGAGATTTTTTTTTATTTCTAAAAGTTTATATCTTTTAATTGAAGTTACACAGTTTTACATTTAAATGAATTTTTCATGGTGATTAGTTATATATCTTAACATCAGCAGAAAACGACCACACCCATTTATTTGATGACAAAATTACATTACCAAATTTTAATTAAAAAGCGTAACATTTGGATATTTAATATAACTTATTTTATAAATATTTAATAACTAATTTTAGAAAATCTTAAAACTTATTTAAATAAAAAAATAAAAAGAAAATTGAGTGAAAAATAATGAACTCTGAACCATAGTACTCCCTCTTCATTTGTCAAGTACCTGAAAACAAACAGGAAAAACAGTTCATATCAGTGTTCTTTGGTTCTCTCCAACAACCACTGAATAAAAAAAACATATATTTTTTTCACGACAGTAACGTTTTACAACCACATAAAACAATTTCTCAAAAAAAAGTATAAAACTAAATAAAAAAAGCAAGCCCGCCGAATTTAAAAGCAAAATTTTATGAAAAGAACTAATGTCAACTGCATCTATCTATGCGATGTTACTTTGGAGTGATGAAAACTTTTAATTTATAATATTTATGAGGCGAAAAAGAGAGGAGCAAAGATGAGAGAAATGAGGTTACATCATGTGAAGAATGGAGACAGGTGCAAGATAGCACACACGAGGAGGTGCAAAAGAAAAAGAAAAAGATCTAAATTTAGGGTTTCCACTAATTCAATTTAATGTAATATAATCCAAAGCCGTGAACTTTATAGTATAGAAAAGAAAGGGTTGGGTTGTGAAGGGGACATCGGAGAAAGAGCATTGACTTGTAGTTGTTGAGGTAGCATAGTTGGGTCCGTCCGATGAGGGGCAAAACAAGACAAAGATTCGTTTAACGAGGAGCCAAAGGAACCGCAAATGCAGGGTTGCTAATTGCCACTTGATTTTTTTTTTTCTTTGCTTTGGGTCTGGGAGCGAAAAAATGAGACCAATGAGAGACAAAAACAACACAACAACAAAACAACACCCCTTTGACAATTTTCACTGCCTCGTCCTTTCTCTTTCTTTTAGGCAGCCTCTGTGTCTCTGTAGCGACGATTAAAGTGGGTACATGTGCCAACAGTTTTTTGTTTGTTTTTCATGTGTGTCATGTCATGTGTGAGTCCGTGTCTGCACTCTACTCACCAACTCTTTCCATTTTCCAACCCCCGAATCCAAGGCCTCCTTAGATTCCTTACAGAGTAGAGTCAACAACATATATCTATGTCTTGTTTCATTTTTCTTTCTCTGATATGAATAACAAAGAGTGTTATGTTTTTTTTTTCATTTTTCCTGTTGTTACAATGTTCAGTAATTGATAAAGAAAATAAAAAAAATGATCTTTTTGTTTTTTTTCACAGTTTGTTTTGTGAGATTGAATGGGAAAGGCTGTGTGAGGTGAGGTGTGTCATCTAATCTACATATGAGAGTTTTAAGTGTCAACCATCTAACTCCAACGAAAGAAGCTTCCTACCATACTTCCTACTGTTCAGCTCTCTTCGCTTTTTTCCTATCCACCCATCACTCGTATTAATTCAAAACACCCTCCAATCCAACCCCATCTCCATCCCTCTTTCTCTTTTGTCTTCCATTCTGCAACACACTCCCTCTGTTTCTTTCCCTACCCACACTACTCTACCAAACACTCTTTTCAACTTCTACCAGGTACCCTTTACTTCTTGCTTGCTCTTTCTTTTTTTCATCTGATTGAACCTTTCAATATGTGTGTCCTAGCCACTTGTTTTACCAGTCTTGCTCTGAACGTGTTTAATTTCATCTCTTTTTTTAGACTCTTTTTGTCTGTTTTTTGTTTTAAGGATTGTTTGAATGGGCAGACATCTTAGTATGCAATGAGAGTCTTTTAACTATTTATTAGCTCGACAGTGTTGCAATGTAGGAGAGGGGTTGGGGAACAAAGGGTCGTGATGTTCTTGACTTTTGGCGTTGTAGATTCCATTTGGATTATTAACTAATTCAAGGCCGCTCTTGTTATATGTATGGTTCAATTTGGAAGTCTTCATTCCCTTTTTTGACGTCTGTGAGTAGTAATTTTTTAGTATGGAGTAGGCTTGGCAGTGTAAAAGTTGATTGCTTGGTAATATTTTTGTTTCTGTGCTGTTTCTCCACAGATTGTTTGCCAATGGAATGTAATTATCAGTGTGGCCAAAGTGTTGTGAGCTTGAAGAGAAAGTCCCCAGAAGATGAAAATCGTGTACTCTTCAACACCTTTTCTCTGGATGACCTTAACGAAGATCTCTTTGAAAGGATACTTTCATGGCTTCCAACTTCCACATTCTTTCGCCTAAGTTCTGTGTGCAAAAGATGGAAATCGGTTGCTGATTCTGCCAGTTTCAAGCTTGCCTGCTCTCACATTCCCTCGAGGGATCCTTGGTTTTTAATGGTTGCTCCCAACCTTAATCAATCTGTTATCTTTGATTCTGCTGAGAGCGCTTGGAAGAGACTAAACCACCCACCTCTTCTGCAAGAGGAATCTAACCAACACTGCATGCCGGTTGCAGCCTCTGGCGGCTTGATTTGCCACCGGAAATTATCAGGAAATTTCATTGTGAGCAACCCCGTGACAGGATCTTGTACAGAACTTCCCCCACTTCATGCCCCGCAGCATCAACCTCTCAGTGCCATTGTGATGAGCACAGCTTGCAAAGACCAACTCTCCTTCAAAATTGTCTTAGTCTTTGGTGAACTTCCAAATCTCTTGTTCAAAGTCTACGATTCAAGATCTGGCTGTTGGGATGATGAGATTGCTTTGAGGAGAAAGACAGAAGACAGTTCAATGGAACATGACTCTACTGATGACAATGTTGTGTACTTCCTCAGCAAGGCTGGAATTGTTGTGGCAAGCAACATGCAGAGAAGCCCCTCTAAGCAATATTCATCAGTTATTACCAACAAAGATGGCCAAGACATAGTGTATTTTCTTAGCTCCTCAGGGAAAGTGGTAGCATGCAATTTAACGTGCAAGTGCTTCTCTGAGTACCCCAGGTTGTTACCTGTTTTTAGTGAGTATTCCATTGATGTTGTAGAGTGCAATGGGGAGATGCTAGTTGTTTTGTTATCAGAATTCTTGGAGACTGCAACTCTTAGAGTATGGAAATATGATGAGGCTAACAGAGGGTGGCACCAGATCGCGGCAATGCCTGCAGCAGATTCTCATGAGTGGTATGGAAAGAAAGCAGACATCAATTGTGTTGGGGCTGGAAACCAAATATTGATATGCTTGAACTCCCCTGATCTATGCACTTATATTCTGTGTGATTTGGAAACCAACAAGTGGATTCAATTGCCAAAATGTTGCATAAATGGAGAACTCATAGACTTTATGTCTGCCTTTTCATTCGAGCCTCGAATAGAGGCTTCTGTATGACTTCACTATGATAATCACCGTTCCTTTTCTGATCTCTTAGCACATGTTTTCCTATACACTTTTACTTTAATTTTTAAAGCTAAATAGGTAGCTAATGGAAGAAATGGAGACTAACCAAGAAATTCATTCCTGATTGAGATTTTCTTTCATTGATTACATAGTTTTTGCTGGGAAATATAATGGAAAGAAAAAAACTACAGAGATATATTGATTAAGGTATCATGACTTCAGCATATAGGAAAACTTATCATATCTAATCCAGCATTGAGATAATAGATTTATACGTCGTAATGCCATTTTTCAACTTCTGTTTCTTGATAGGATTGAATTTCATGGCAGATTTTCAACATATGAAGTTTTCAATGTATATATCTAGGATATCCATTTGTTAATATGACAGTGAATGAAGTTGACGGGTACCTGCTTCACATGGGAAAACGGCGAGTGTTCTAAACAAGCTAGTCTCTCGTACATATGCTGCTCTATGTGTAGCATAGATTATTGGGAACTTTATGAGTTGATTCAAAATGATAAAGAAAGAAAAACTGTAGTTGTAACCAGATTGAACGAAACTACCTGAGTTGAGTAAAATCTGTAAAGAAAAGTTAAATGATAACATGCAATGTGCTTCAACAGTTGATGACTGTACTGGAAGAAGTTCTGTTATATTGCCATTAGCACAACACCCAAATCATTTTCTTTCTGTCACCTAGTACATTGTTATCTGGAATCCAATTTTTCACTGTTAAAATTACTTTATTACTTTGAACCAGTTGTTCAGGTTTTACTTGAAGCATAAATACTGTGCCAAGCTTATTATGAACAGTGTTTAGTGCTGAAATTTTCACATAGCCTAAAAACATATTAATAGTATTAACTAGATTAATGAAATCTTCTACTGTTATTAGTCTTGTGGGATTGAATTTTACTGTATGAATTTTAGCATCTGCCATTCTATTGAATTCAGTTCAGGTTAAATTTATTGTTAAAGGAAACCAAAGTTACTTTATATTGGTTGAGCTAAACACCTTTGAACAGAGAAGTTATGAAGAACAGCATATTTAGTACTGTAACGATAATTATTTCACTTTTTTGGATGTATCATTCGTGTTAATCCATCATCTGAAAGTCAAAAATAATTTCAAAATTGTAGGGACCAAAAAAAAAAATTTATGGTGTTACAAGAAGAGAGTAATGGAGGTGCGGGAAGAAACTGCCGTTAGTTAATAGGCTTACATTCAGCCCAATGAGCTTAAAGCCCACATAACAAGAGAGAAAAACAAAAACTCAGAACTTTGACAAATTTTACATCTGAATAATTATAAATGGTGTCTCTGAATACCATAATCAATACAAAACCATATCATTTAGCATATCTTAGACACAATGATTGAATTCTCAAACAATAACAACGCATCATTAAGCAGATAAACAACATTACAGAAAAACACTGGGAAAACAAACTAAACCGGACCACTGATAGCAACAGCCACCTGATCTTGCAGATTCATCTTCCAACAAAGCACCAACCTCCTCACGAGACAACCCTCAATCGTTGTCAAATGATCAATGGAGCATTCACTAAAAACATCCTCAACATAACCAAAGGGAGGCTTTCTGGTTGCAGCCAAATTCAGACAGAAAAACATCATCTGAGATACTGTCGCAGCTAAAGGGTTCATGTTTGCACTGCACAGAGAACAAAGTGGACCTCATCCTATCTAAGCGGTTATGCCATCTTCCTCAAACTCACTATACACAAGACAGTGACACATAAAAAAGTGAATAGCAAAAGTTATATAACATATCACACACACCATTTTCAACACACAAATATTCTGAGTTTTTTACTTTATATATTATATATTTCTACTCACATTATATCCAACTTAAGAAATCATGATTAAGTTTTTCTTCACAAGTTTAGGTGTAGTTACCCATCACCACCTTATGCATGGCATGACACCCAAGAACAAGATAGCTTTGCAGATACCTTCTGCATGCATTTTATACACCAATAGTCGTTAGCTTGAGAAACATGGTTTACTATAAGAAAATTATTTTCAATTAATTTTAAAGATAAAAAATAATTACTTATTAACTGTCAATATGTTAGCTATCAAATAATTAATGTATAAATTGGTCTTTAATATTTAGACATTAATTAGCTAAAACATGAATAGTTAATGTTAAAGAACAATTTATATTTTAACTCACAAACAAATTATATTTATTCATAATATAAATTACTCTAAATACCAATAATTTATAAATTGAAATCTAAATTAGTCATTAGAGACTAATTATTTTTAAAATTAAATATGTCTTTTTATCTCTATATTTATATGTCAAATTGAAAATCATTTGTCAAAGTTCATTATAAAATGATTCTTATAAAATATTTTTTTACATTCATTTTCAACCATCATCGGATAAACAAAGAGAAAGTATTGATCAATTAGAATCTCGACCTCCAACAACCAATAACTGACCATCATATTTAAATGACATCCATCAACAACAATAAAAGCTTCTTATTGGAACCATGAAGGCACATGTAAAAGCTTTCAAACATTGGTTGAAAGTAGGGAATAGGTTGATCACTTAATATAATCCTACAAGTTGTTCCACTCCCAACTTCAATTCTGCATGTAATAAAATAGAAGTGAATATTGTTCATCTTTTTCTCCCTCTCCATTCTTTGTGCTTAGCTTGCAAAGTTTGATTCCAATGCTGTGAGACTTGTTAATATCATCCACTCCCACACATATTTTCCACATTTCTAAATTTATCCATCACAACTACATTGATGTAAAAAAATACTAACAGTTAACATTTGTTGTCAAAAAAAGAAATATGTAAAACAATATCCGGAAACAAATTATATATTTGTATTGTTTTAATATATATGCATTGCAAAACCACACTCAAAATTGAAAGACACCACAACGTACGTACAACTTTTTCTGTCACCTTTTTGCTCCACAACATACAACTTTGGCATATGGTTATTCTTTTAGAGTGAGAACACACAGAAAGTCAGCTACATTCACAAGTTGTCGTTATTGATGGTGAAGATGAAAACACAGAGCAACAGAAGCTATCAATAATGGTTATTTGTAGAGTTTGATGTTGGAAATGGCAAGTTGCGAAATAATTTGAAAAGGAAAGTGGAAGAATGATAAGAAAGGGTGTTTGAGAGAAAAGTGTGAAGTGGTCCCATGCACCGCCATGCCTACTTATGGCTGAAAGTGACAGAACGTTTGGGCGGTTAAGCGAAGGAGACAGATGGTGCGAGCCTCTCTGCATTCCAATTCATGAATCACTGATCTCTCACACCCATTCATGCTAATTAATTCTCAACCACTTTTCTATCTTTCCTTTTACTTTTTTTCTCTCTTTCACTTACTCACTCCATCCATTTCCAAACATTTGTTCATCACCGTCAAATTTTACCAGACTGTAATCTTCAATTTTCAACTACTTTTCTCTTCTTCTTCCTCACAACTCTACTTCTTCCTCCTAAATCTTCACGAGGTTCAAATAATTTCAAACATTATTCTTAAGAGATAATAATGGGAAACATTATTCTTAATAAATCACATGTCAACCATATATTATAATTTATTTTTAATTTTTGTTTATTATATAGAAAATACTTCTCTATCGTTATTTTATACTATTTTTATAACATATAGTGACTAAGTATTTTGTAATTTAATCAGAGATTAAAGCACAAATATTTAAATAATTTAAAAAAATATTTAATCCAATTAAAAATATAAAAAATTTCTAATTATAAATCTATATATAATAAATTTTATAAATAATAAATTTATTTATATCATTTATCTTACTTATCTATACTCAATTAAAATTCTAAATTTCAAACTTCAATTTCTTTGTAAGAAGATGACTTTAAAAACTTTAAAAAATTGTTATAAATTAGATATTACGTCAAGATAGGTAAGACAAGATAAAAGTTGAGACGGATAGGTTAAAGTTTGAAACAACCTATGTTGAGTCAAAGGTTGATACGATTCACGTCGAGCCAAACGTTGAGATAAGATAGATTTACCAAAATGTTGAGACGAACTTAAGTCAAAATTTGATTGAATTTTGACAAGTTGACTCCAACCAAAAATCGACAAGAACGACCACTGATCAAAATTGGTCGAACCGCTATGTCCAAAACTCGATCCAATTAGTTTCGACTAAAACTCAATCGGAACGACCACAAGAGAAACTTGACGAGTCGATCCCAACCAAAATTTTGTTAAATTCAACCACGTCGACCCTAGTCAAAAATAGGTCAGGATGCCCACAATTGAAACTCAGTCAAGTCAAATTTGACTGAATGTCACGACCCAAAATAAGTCGAATTTGCATAGGTCAACCATATATAAAATTGGGTCGAGTTAGTCCCAATTGAAATTTGACCTAGTTAATCTTGATAAAAATTTGATCAAATTTGATTAGAACGATCACAGTCGATCAAAACTTGGTCTAGTCAATCCTAACTAAAATTGATCAAACTCCACCTAAATCGAATTTGACCGAATCAATATATGTGATAGTTTCGTTTAGTTGGTAATTATAACTTTAAAATTTTCAAACAAATAAAAAGTATAAAAGAAATTGTTTTAAGTTAATGAATAATAATTGAACTATAATTTTAAAAATTAAAATTTTTAAAACGGTCTTATAAAAAGATATAATTCATTTTTTAATATAATGATATTAATATTTTTTATATAATATAATTAATTAATATTTCATTGCAATTTAGATAATAATTAAAGTAAGAATAAGAATAACAAAGTGATTTAAAAAACTAAAACTTAATCATCCTAAAGACTTGAAGTAGATAAAAAAATAGAAAATATTGGACTCCGTCCAATAATTGCGAAGCGTAAGTAAAACTATTGTCTATTTAGCCTCTGAATAACTACAATATTTTTCGTAATAATTTCATTTTTGTTTTGACTTTGAATGTCACGCTTTTTAATTTAGTATTAATTTTATTCATGCAAAAAAAAGACTTAATGAAAGAAAAAAAACTTATTTACATCAAAATTCAAATTGACTTCAACCTTTTTATCTTCTAGATCATGTGCTCTAAAAGAGTAGATTAAAATAACCTAAAAAACTTAGAGAAAAATCAAAGTTCCTTAAATTAAAAAATAAAATAAAAAGCATTTGTTCTATTATATACAACCTCACACTTAAAATAATTAAAATATTTACTTTTTCACCTCTCTTAAACCTTCTGGCCATCCTTTTAAATAACAGTTTTTTATATAAGCTAGTTTTGCTTACATGTCATGTGTAACAATAAATATTTGAATTAAATATTACATTATAACCAATAATTACATATAATTATATTAGACTGGATATAGCATTATCTAATTATTATTTTTAAATAAAAGGCCATATGCATACCATACCACATTATTTATATTAGCCTAAACCTTAAATAGATGTAAAACAGGTGACATAAGTAATTTATTTTATATTTTGAAAGAAGAAGAATGGTGTGATTTGATTGCAGAGTTTGAGAAGGAAGAAAATGAAGAAGAGAAGAGTAATTAGGGTTTATGTTGGGAGAGAAAGAGGGTTGGCGGCGAAGGGGAAATTAAATGTGAATGGAAAGGAAAGGTTTGGAGAGACGAGTTTCGAGAGAAAGGAAGTAAAGTGGTAGCAAATGATTCGCGAAGAGGGTTTTTTTTTTATCTGCGGCTGCGTGCGTGTGCTGGGATTGGCGGAATTTGGCTACTTGCCTTTCCCTTGGTTTTATCTCTGATCACAACTGAAAAAGAAGAACGCACACAACAACCACGGCCATCCAATTTTGCTGTTATCCAAATGCCAATAGGTATCTTTCCCTTTCCCTTATCTACCCCTCTCTCTTTGCCATTATCCATTTCTTACCATTCTATTTTATATTCTGCCATAATGCATTGAGTGTTAGAATTTCGAATTTTTGTGTATACGCTATTTTAGCTATGCAACAATTTCCTCTGTCACCAATTTTTTTATTTTGTTATTATTATTATTATTATTATATATATATACACACACAGACACAATGTGAAGGTTATCGCGTGGGAGGGATGTATGGCGCCGTTAAACTTGTTGCAACTTGTATGATTGATTGTCGTTTTGTCAAATGTCATGCAACCTCTTTGTGACGGGTTTAGCAGTGCATTATTAGGAATGACACTAGCATTTCTCAACTGGTCTCTCAGGTGTCTGGACCAATTTACTTTCTGCACAATCATTGATTTCTTAACTGTTAATCCGGGAATGTGGTATAGTGTAGCACTATTTCATGCGAATGGTGCGGGAATAAAAATCTTTTTCATAATCTAAAATTCCAAGTTGGTGCTTATGCTTATGTACATTAATAAAAATAACAATTTATGGTTGGGGTGTTTTTTTATATGGTCAAAAAAACTATCATGCTTCTGAACGTCTGTGTGACACAACTGAATTTTATTAATTATTTTTTCTTAAATTGAGAGATTGGATTGTATATCACGTGGAGATTAACTAGGATCATGAATACATGTCTAGGGTTTATTTTTACTGGAGTGGTCCGTTTTAGGGTCTCTTTTGTTCAATGGAGGGGAGGTGAATGGAAGTGAAGGGAGAGATTTTAATCAGACATTATTTTTGGTCTAGAGAAGGGGAGTAATTTTAATGGAAGAGAGGAGAGGTAGTCCTTTTCTTATTTGGATCACAACAAGGGGATGAGAGGAGTTTTGAAAGTTAATTTATTTTCATATCCTTATAATTTTGGATTTCAAAAAATAAATAGGATGATTTTTGTCAGTACACTTTAAATGTTTTAAATCTCCTCCTCTCCAAATCCTTCAATGTTGAAGGAGAGTAAAAATGGGACGTGGAGGATTTCGCTCCCCTCCAAATTCCCAATATTAAGGGGGGCAATAATTGGATGTGGAGGGATTTTTCTCCCTTCCATTCTCCTTTCATCCCTCTTAAAAATTGAACCCAAAAAAAATAAATTTAAAAAGCTCTTCCCTCTTCGCATTTTCCTCCAAAATGAACAAGGATAAAGTAATATTGTTTTTTGATGAAAAAAATCACCGATTATGATTTATGTAATACTTAGAAATGTTAGTTGATTTTTTCATTAAAAAATGAGATTATTTACTTTATCATTTCAAGAGAATTGTTGTATTCATTTTGACTAGCCAAATGATATTATGAAAATATATACAAAACTACTTATTGGTCATTTCTAGGTAAAATAATGAAACTGAAACTTCTTACTAGGAAAAAGGATGACGGTAGCTAGAAGAGTACACACAGATACAGTTGAAAGTAGGAGAGGGAGATGGGGATGGAGTGTTTTGTCTTTAATAACCTATGCGTTTGTCATAGTACTCTGTTCCCTGAATGTACAGATGGTGTTCAACTTGATTAAACAGAAAAATTGGAGTTTCTCTCCTTCTGTCATGCAATATATAGGAAATATAAGACAAGGTTGCAGCAGTGATGAAGATTCTTCACTTATTCTGCATAGGCTCTTGCTGACGTTTTAGAAGCTTGGTCCCATAACATAATACTTGCAGTTGCAGACAGGGCACCGAAATACCAATAATTGTTCAACGCCATGAGTACCCCTATGCCTATCCTCTGCCATTTCACTTTTATGAAAAGTGATAGCTTTAAGACAATATCTGAATATGTCAAACTTCTATCCATAGTAGATGCAGTAATTTGATTACTCCTAACTGTATTTGTAATTTTCATATTTTTATTTAACTTTTATATTGATATAGATGGGAATGCCACGATAATTAGGTTGATTACAAAGCTCTTTCCAAGGTTTAAACTAGGATTCTCTCATTTGATTTTTTGAGTATTTTGGTTGGATTGTTTTTATTTAATTATGTGAGTGGATATTTTTGTTTGAATGACAACTGTAAGTGACATCAGGTAGAAATATGCATGTTGAGCAACTTAATAGTGAGAGTGATCCTCGAGTACAATGTATAATAGATATTTTGGGTTTAATATGATGTTCACTTGTGTGATTTTCTTGTGGTCTATTGATGATGTCCCTTGTATTTATGAAACTTGGGAGGGACAATCACGTGGAAGAGATTCACTTAAAGGGAACATGGTTGGAGTGACAAGTGTGAGGAAAGTTTACATGGCGTAGTAGTGAGCAAATTGAGAACATATAAGCTAGAGGAATTCACAATCATTATGCCACCTAAGGTTTTGGGTTTGATGTAAAGTCAACTTCATATGTGTGTTTTGCTTGTGACTTTTCCTTGTGGGAGAACAAATTGAAAGTGTTAGAGAAAAAGTCCTACATTGGGTGGAAATAAACAAATTGAGCTTTTGTAAGTGAGAAGGACATGCAAACTTAATATCTTAAGGTTTTGGATGGGATAAGGTCTCAACTTCACTTGTGGCATGTCATGGAGATCTCTCACATTCCTTGACAGTTTTTAGGGTACACATTGAATAATTCATGCCTATGACTATTGCATGAATAATTCATAAATCCTACTTGTTCCATTCTAGTTCATGTATAGACTTTTCTTTCCGGCTTAAGTATGCTATTTCTAATTCATACTAGAAACCATAAGTTAGATGTAAATCATAAAGTTATTCTTGATTCTTCGCCAAACCATTTAAGCATTTTAGAGTGTTGATCTTTAATACAATGTGATCAAGAGAGTTGATCTTTTAAGAGGGTTCATCTTTGTTGTAGAAATGCATGATATTTGATGCTATGAAGTATCTATTGGCCACACAGTTATATAATATCCATTTACCCATATTGAATTTGTCTTTTTCACAGTAAAATTGTGCAGTATTATGTTCAGTAAAGTAGAACAAAATATTTTGGTATGCTTAACGTGCGTGTTATGAAATTATTTGTCCCTAATAAATCATTTACTACAGTAAATATTGCATATTTTATAGTAGGAAGCCTGCCATTTATTATTTTAAATTTATTTAATCATTAGTACAAAGTGAAATGTGCTTCAAAAGAATTTTACTTACTAACATAAGCATTTAAAGAATTGGTGTTTTAAAGAATATATCTATTTTTTTCCTAACTTGGTCAATTTTTTGCACAAAATGTTTGAGATTTCTTTTATATGTTTCAGTTTTTTTGAGTTGCGAGATAGGGACTAAAACAAATTGAGCTTTCTACACAGGGCCATATATAGAGACGATGAATTATAATAATTTATTCTTTTACTTTATATATTCATATTCCCTTTTAATCATTTGGAGTCTTGATCTATGTTACAGTGTTACTTTCTGTGTTCCATACACATTTTCCAAATTAAGGGATGTTCTTCTTGAAATCCTGTATGAAAATGTGATACCTCTATAGTCAAAGTTTTTGTTTGGACGACGATGTTGCTCCATAAGATTACTATCATCAACATATTGTTGATTCGCAAACGTAGCATAATTAGTGCTTCTTACTAATGAGTTTTTTTGGGGCACGTTTTAAGGTAGGTTCTTATATATGGAGTAAATTTATCTATTTATTGTGTTTTGTTTTCAAGGATAATAGTGTCTTATGTACTTTGTTGAAATGATTAGTGACAAATCAGGTCATGGAAGGTGGTACCGCTCTGGTACTACGTTGAGAAGAAAGAAATTGAAAAAAAATATATTGAATTTTGTGTGTTGTGTACACACATAAGTATACTTATTTATAATGAAGAAGAGGTACATTAATAAGGAACAAAATCAATATCTAATAAAGATAAATATTTGGTGAGGTATCCCTATCAAATCACACCTATTTCCCTATGTTAACTAAATCAAATCATATCTCTAACGCTTGCGCTCAAGCCAAATCATATGAAACAAGTTGTTACAAATGTCATTGATGCATATGACCCCTTGAGAGACTTAGTGAACATGTTAGTTAGGTTCTAGTTGGAGCTGACGAAGTAAATAATGACAAAGCTAGTACTAAACATGACTTTTTCTCCTTCAAAGCGAGAATCTTTAATATGCTTCGTCCTTTCAAAACCATATCTTCAATACCTTCTTCAAGTTGAAACATATGGATCAGGAGTCAAGCTTGTTAAAAATGGTTAGAGAGCACACCAACTATCAAAGAGTAAAAATGGGTAAATAAAATGACATGACATTTGCCAGAAAGCACAAAATGTTCAATGAGCATACGGGTGGAAAGCAAAATTGATCAAAGGACACAACAGTTGCCTGAAAGCAAAAATGCTTAATGACACAACAATTACCGAAAAACAGAAATAGTGCTTAGAGAACAAGGCAACTATAGGAAGGTAAAAATGTTCACAAGACACAACAACTGCTGGTAGCAAAAATGCTCATAGATTGTCAAAAAGCAAATATGGTCATTGCACAATAAGGTGATGTAAGTAGTGGCAATTGCTGACTGGCAAAGCTTGCCGAAAGAAAAGAAAATCAAACTCATCAACAATGAATAGTACTCTTGCTGAAAAAACGTAGATTACAGCCATTAGTAATTAATATTTGCTTGTCCTACTTACGACAAAGGAGTGTAACAAATGAGAATTTCTATTGTGAGCAATGGGAAATATAAATATAGACTATGATTGGATTTGGATGGCAAGATTAAAATAAAACTTCACATGAATTTTAAAGTGTTATTATGAGTATTACTTTTATCTTTTATCATTCATGCTTGAATATATGATTTGTATTATCTTGTTTTCCAAGGGTTTGACTCAAATCCTGAATCTGAATGTAGAGATGGATAAATTACCATGAACCAACTCAAACACATGTGATACCTACTTTGGGCATATTGGAGAGTTTTGAAAATACAACAAAATTATTGTGCCCAGGAATTGGGTCCAAGTCTCTTAGGAGGTGTTTATTTTATTAATAGATTCTTATGATTTAGAAGATATCGTATCTTATAGTTATTATATTTTTGGGTAGTTATTATATTTTTTGGCTTAGGGATATATGATGTGAAACCTTGGAGGCTATAAATAAGAAGACAACTCCAAGGCTGAGGGACTTAGATTTTTTGGCTTAAAGTACTATTAACTTTGAACTAGATTGTTCATTCTCTTTTGTTCTCCGGTATAGAGCCCCAACTCTTGAGCACAACATGATCCAATTTTTTTTGTCTTCTTTCACGATAAGGAAAATTTGTATTGAAAATGAAAGTTTGTGTTAAGAAGTGAACTTTATGTCTAACTCAACCCTACAAAACCAGCTTGTGAGGTGGTGAGGTTTGTATCCATATATATATTCTAAATTGGTTTTATCTCTAGTCGATGTGGGACTTCCAACACAACCTCCTCACACCGAGGTATATACATCTCGTGCATGAAACTCAACATTAATGGGTGGTGTGATAGCGATCCGATAGTTGGTGGAATGATATACCCAACAAACACAAATCTTGCTAGGATAGGCTTTAACCCATGACTCTGATACCATGTTAAGAAGTGAATTTTAAGTCTAATTGAATCTTACAAAACTGGTTTGTAAGGTGAAGTTTGCACCTAAATACATACTCTAAATTGGCGTTATCTATGGTCGATGTGAGACTTCCAATAGTTTCATTCGAAATCTCCTTTTTTATCGTGTTTTGTTTTATTTTATGATTTTAGAAAATACTTTGTATTTCCATTTTGAAAGTTTTTTATGGTATATTTTAGTTGTCTCTTGGAGAATATGAAGCTAAAACTGCAGTAATATTAGATCATGTTCATCTTTAGTGCATGTGCTTAAAAGGAAAGCTTACATTGTTAAGAGCCTTTATTTGTTCTTTTATATATGGTTGCTATTTCTCTGTTTTTATCTTTCTCAGTGTGGTAATCTTCTAAATATCTTCTTCCTGTGGAATGTGAAAACTTAAATATATGCTATTGCAAGCCATTAAAAAGACCTTTGATTCTAGAAGAAAAAAACTGTGTAGCTATTCATGGAGGTGAAACAAGTTAGAATTATTGTTGAAGATATCGGATGGTAAGACCAACACTCCGAAGAATTCATTTAAAATTTATTTAAAGGAGGCTATAAGTTGGCAATAAACGTAGTTTGCCAAAACAAGGAAAAGTCCAACATTTTTTGGTAAATAAAGTCCAAAATATTTTAAAGCCCCTACTAGGCTGTCCCCAACTATTTATAACCCTCATAAGCCATCCAGGAGGACCAGGATTTCCTTCTGATCACTATCTGCCACTGTATTGCGTAATTTGTTTGTCCCTCACAATTGTAGAAGACCCATATGATTCTTCCAATTTATTTCCTATCTGAAATCTTTTGAGCAAAGTTGATACCTAGCCACACATAGATAGGCCGTTCCTCTTTAAAGTAAGAAGAATGGAATTAGATAAACTCAGTAAGCTTGAACAACCTCCTCTCCCTAGCGCATACATCCGTAGCCTAGTGAAACAACTAACCACCTCAGGAACAAAAGGCTCCATCTATGCGAAAGGCCAAAGTTTTTTTGTGAACGGTGGGGTTTCCCATGGTCATAATTCAAAACATGGGAAAGTTGTAGATGCTCGTCGAGCACAGCAGTCCATGCAACCTCAACAACATAAAAAACAAGTTAGGAGGAGACTCCACACCAGTAGGCCTTATCAAGAAAGGCTTTTGAACATGGCAGAGGCTCGGAGGGAGATTGTCACTGCCTTGAAATTTCACAGGGCAGCTATGAAAGAAGCAAGTGAACAGAAGCAGCAACAGCAACAGACACAAGAACAGCAGAGAAGGCCATCAGTATCCCTCCAGCCATCCCAGTGTCTAACTTTTGATCAAGATGGAAAATTTAAGTCCAGGCGAAATCCAAGAATTTATCCTGCATGCACCTCCAATTTTTCAGGCTACACGGATGATTTATCCTATTCATGCTTATCCCACTATTCATGCTTATCCCAACCTCCTCCTTCGGTTCCAAATTCTTACACCTGGCCCGCTGCTTCTCCAATCACTCCACCACACCTTATGACTGAAAACCCCAATTTCATACTTCCAAATCAGACTTTAGGATTGAATCTCAACTTTCAAGATTTCAACAACTTAGATGCTACCTTTCTCTTCAATAACTCATCATCATCGTCTAACTCATCTGCAATCTCGTCTTCTCCAGAGGAACTTCCTTCCCTTGGAATATCACAGGGAGAGGAGTTATATTCAATGGGGGATACTGTTGAATCCAATGCTGCAAGACAGGTAAATGGAGGCTTACACACAGCCGTGGACGATGAGGGTATGGCAGAGATCAGATCGTTGGGAGAGCAATATCAAATGGAATGGAATGACACCATGAATTTGGTCAAATCAGCTTGTTGGTTCAAGTTCTTGAAAAACATAGAACACAGGGGACCTGAAGACAAGAACGAAGAGGACACAAACCATAATTTTGACCAACTTTTGGAGTTTCCAGCTTGGTTGAATGCAAACGAGAGCTGCTTAGAGCAGTGCTCGGTGGATTATTTTCAGGATTCTTCCTTGCCTCGGTAAGCTGAAGATAAGTTTCTTAATTTTTGAAAAATGAATTTTGTTTGAGGTGTTTTTTATTTGTACCTCTCCTAGTGAGGAAAAGGAACAGGGCAGTTTGCAGTTTGGTGTAGCGTTTCTTATTACGGCAGTGGAAATTTGATTAGGTTTCACCTTTCTTTACGCACACAAGATTTGTTCTTTTCTACTCCTACAGAATTAGAGATCTATGTTACTGTTATTTTAATTCTTGGTGGGATAATTTTGTACATGAGTTCATTATACTTTTTCTTCTTTTGGATCTTACAGAGACATTTGTATGCTAATTCCTTCCGATACTTAGATTGCGATGTGATCTAGCTTGCTCAGGCTGAACTGTTGATTGAATTCCACTGGAATACAATTGAATAGTAATTATCCTGGTCGGTTTTGTGCTGAACTTGGTTATGGAGCACAAGTCAAGAGTCAAAATTCTAATAGTTATATCTTCTTTTTTTCTGTCAATCCCCATATTCGATTTTGAGTCTTTTATTGATTCTTTTGAAACAGTTCTCTTCTCACCTTTAGCCAAACTCGAGTAGCTGGGAGGGCTTTACAGCCCTATGTACCTTCAAGTGGTATAGAATTGTACCCCTTAAAGGCAATCTTCTCTGTATCTTAGTGTACGATTTTCTCGGTCATGCAGACGCTATCTGGTTTATGGTATGTTCCCTTCTTTTGGGCTTCTGGTAGGCCTTGTACAACAGTCAATTTGTAAGGCATGGTCCAGTCGATTCTTGATGCACGTCGTAGTCCATATTATACTATTTTACTATTGCTAATGTTAAAAGATATATATATATATATATATATATATATATATATTTTAAATTGTTATTAGAGTTTGATTTTAGTCTTTATGATGAATAGGTCTTACACATTATGATAGACTAGTTATGTTGAAAACTCTGCATTAGTTTGATCCACCCACCACAATAATTTTTTTGTTCTAGTTCTTATTTTGTGTGAATTGTGGCGGCGACGATTCTAATAGGGTCATACCTTTATTGATTTGGACTTTCCAATCCATATTATGCCTCATACTGATCGTTTTTCTTTTTCTTCTTTCTTTCTTGATAATGCTACAAGCAGCATGGATATTGCAGATTTTGACAGTATGGACGACGATTGGTTAGCGTGACACTACAAGGATTAGTTGCTTTCATTTGATGCTCTCAATTTCATATTTCTTTCCTCGGCCCCATTTCACTGCTTTATTTTTGGATAGCAAATAAAGCTTGCAAAATATCTGTTGAGGCAGGTACCATCAATTTGATTGATGAACATTTATACACCCCTTGCTATTATATCACTGTGTATTTTGATATTGAACAATATCATATCAGTTCGTGCGATTCTCTTTCTATTATTTAATTTGCGACTAAAAGTGAAAAAAAAAAACAGAGAACAGTAGTGATCGTAGACCTCTTCGGTTCATGTTTGAAAAATATTATAGTAAAACAGATTCTTGGTTCTTAATTTTGTACAGTGGAAAGTGTAATTGTTTGCTACAGACTTGCATTAATGGTTTCCCTAGGACCACTCTGCCACATCTTCAAAAGCAAGTGAAAAGGAACCGAGAGAAACGCAGTAAACAGCTAACAAGTCTGTTGTGTTTCTGGTTACAAATGTGAAACCATTAAAAGTATTGATTTTACAAATTATTTTTTATATAATCTAATTTTAACTTATGGAATGAATAATTTTATTTATTTATTTATTTTTTTCTGAAAGGTTTTTATTCAGAATACCTATATTACCTTGAATACTCGATGAACTAAAAGAAATTTATGATTGAGAAAAAAGAGAGGTAGACCTCACATTCATAAGTGACCCTTATAAAGTCAAACATTAATTGCTTGGGACGTTCCATTCACAGAACTTATTAAAATAAGTTGAAAATAGCTTGTAGATTTATCCTATATTATTCTCATAGGGTTTTAAAAAAGTTATAGAAATGTTTATGCTATAAGATAAATTTAAATCAAACATGAATAAATTTGATCAAATATCTAAATTTTACATTCCATCTCATTCTCTTTAATACACTAGGCTAATAATATTCATAGTTTTACCCAAATTCTAAAAAAATGTTAAATGGAAAAAAGAAAACTAAAATAGGATTTGATATATTACCGTTAAACTCAGACCTTCGAGAAATCATGGCTAACATATTAAATGAGGGAACTTTTCATCAAATGAGTATCCTCCACCACATCTCAAATTTATCCTTTCGTATTTTTAGTTCTAATTGATATTGCAACTTAGTTTTGTAATATAAGGTGCATTAAGATATATGTTAGGCCTTTTATAGCACCTTCAGAGGTCAAATTATGGGAAAAGTTTTAATCTTTTATATGTATAATCTAAAAGTAATGAATTTATTATGGTGTGTAAAATCCAAAATTTTAAAATGTAATATGAACGATATAATTAAGAATATATTATATATTTTTATATTGCTGGAATGAATATAGATTCCAAATTATATAATTTAAAATATGTTTCGGGATTACATATTTTTAGAAATTATTTCTCATCACCGGCTATTCTTATAATAATTTATGACAACTAAATTATGTAATTAAATTAAATAAATTATGTTTAGATGATAAAATTACTCATACTAGTGAATTTTTGGATTAAATTTATGACAAATAGTTAATATACGGGTGGAAAATAAGTATTTTAATATTTATTTATAAATGGGTTGACGTATTATCTAATCTATTTATATTTGTAGTTATTTGTTAAAGGTTAAAATTAGAATTTAATTTGCATTTTATTAAATTTAATTTAATTGAAATTAAAATTTAATTTATACTTTATTAAGTTAAATTTAATTAAAGTTAAAACTTATTTTATATTTTATTTAATTTATACTATATTTTATACTTTTTATAAATTTATTTTCAAAATTTATAAAATATCTTTTTTTAAATATTTGTCGTTATCTATGGATGTTGGAGATTTTTTAAATTTTGCGAGTATTTTTAAAACAGATATTCAAGAATAACGAGACAAATAAGGAATATATTTTTTTTATGGATCAAGTAATAAGTTAAACATTATCTATATCCAACTTAATTCATTGTCATCCCTACTCATATTAGATATCATTATTATCACATGAAGATTTTATTAAAATAAAATAAAAGAAAAAGTATAAGAAATTTGCACCAAACTTATATAAAAAAATTACATTTCACACATACCACTAATATCTATTATAAAAAAACTAAATATAAACATAGAGGAAAAAAAATTAAACATTGTTCTTTATCATTCCTTCATGAAAAACATTTCTAAATTTGAACTCCATATTTCTAGAAAAAATGCAAACACCAAATAGTACGAGACTCAAGCTCATTAATCAAATTTCTCATCATATTCAACCATTAGTCAATACTTTCACATTTAAAAAAAAATCTTTAAAACTCATTAATGTTTTTTTAAGTCTTTACTTTTGGAGGATTTATAATTAACTTTTTCTAGTTTACTCCTACAAATTTTCTTAAAATCTTTGTTTTCATCAAGTATTTTAATCTTAATTAAAATATAAACTAATTTATTGAATAGAAAATTAATAAAAGCAATTGTGAGAGGGTAGTGTATATTTTTGTAGTTATTGATACCAAAATATCAAGGCAAAAGAGAACATATTATATGACACAATATCTTAAATAAGTTACATAACATATATTTACATAAGAGATTTGGAGAGATATGCAATAAAGAGAGAGATTATAGGAGATTCCCTATTTACAAGGAGTAATTGTCACGGATTCCTAATCACTGTCTGTAAAAGATTTAAAATAATCTATTAAAGACACAATAAATTACATTTATACATTAACATCCCTTTCAAATTGATGTTGGTAAGTCAACAAGAAACAATTTTCTGACAAGGCATTGATGGCGCTGTTTATTTGTAACTTGTAACATGGGTAAAATTAATCACCTTGAAGATCAACAGATATGTAAGGGAGAGAGATGCAATTGTTGTTCAAGGCTTCCTGAATATAATGACAATCCACTTTAATATGTTTGATACGTTAACAAAATCACATATTTACAACAATATGAATAGTAGGGTGGAAGAAATTAACTGAACTGTATTGAACTGTTAAAACTTGTAGTGAATCAAAAAATAGTTTACCTGAACTAAAATGAATTAAAAATTAGTTTAGATGAATTGAACGGAACTATTTTTTGTTCTATCAAACTACACTCCACTAAACTACACTGAACTATAATATGAATCGAACTACTATGTACCTTACTATGTTTTCGAACTGCACTAATTTTAAACCAAACTATTTGTGAACTCTTTTTGAATTGCTTAACTAAATTATTAAACATTTTGTTTCAATTAAAAAACTAAAAAAGTAGTATTCAATCACTTCATTAATAATATACGTTCCTCATAAACAAAATAAAAGAGACATAAAACTAAGTAGATAAAAAAAAATTCTCTACTCAAGAACATAAGTTCTCCCATAAACAAAAAAATTCAAAAAATTAATACATCTTCAATTATAAGTTGCATAATAAAATACAACTTATCAAAATATCTTTAATAATCTAAATTAATAGCACTTGAACGTCCCAGTGCATCTTGAAAGGTTATCTCTACAAAAAGAAATATTTCATCATTTTTTAAAACTTAAAATATAAATTAAAAAATATATAATTTTTTCTTATAAACTCACATTGCTCAAATTTATCAAACTCTTTAGGATCCTCATAAAAAAAATAGAGAAAGGTGTTCCTTTTAACCAATCTTGTGTGCAAACAAGTACTTCCACTATTTTAGGAATTACGAAAATACGATAAAGATTAACCACCCTTCCTCCTATACTAAATGCACACTTGGATGCTATGGTAGAGATGATGGGAATGACTAACACCTCCCGAGCCATGTTTGCAAAGATAGGAAATCTAGTTGAGTTGACTTTTCACCAATGTAAAATATCAAGCTCAATTGACTTTGTATAAGATTCAGGATACTCCCTGAAATATTTATCAAACTCTTATATATAATCAAATATACATCTTGTAGCACTTAGGTAGAAAATCATGCCATGAGGAACGTCATCTTCATCATCTAGTTGGGATTCTTGCTGACTACTTTAAGAATCCTCCTCAATGCCTTGATATTGCTCATAAAATGTTTTAAAGATGACAATATTTTGATTGAAACTATCAATTTTTGTCTCTAGTGTTGATTGAAAAAGAAATGTGATGGGTAGGACATGATTAAAAAAAGAAGGAAAATACAACAACATGGTTAACTGAATTGCAAATATAAGAGGTTCAATTTTGTGAACAATTCAAAATTTGTGGCATAAGAGATAAAGATCAAGATGAAGATCCACCATATAATGGAAAGAAATATTGATTTCAAAGAAAATAACATTCCTGAAAACTCTAATGCGATGATATTGAGGATCATAACGAACATAACGTTTTTTTATTAAGAGCATAGCCTAGAAAAGAATACTTAAAATATTGGTTTGTTAGTCTGTGAAGTTCATGAACATGAAGATGCACAAAACAAACACAACTAAAAGTACTTGTACCAAAAGTACCAGCATAAATAATATTGGGATATTCAACCCATAGATTTTAAAAACCATAAAAATATTCCTCAATTGGTAGACCTCCTGTTGGAAGTCTCACATCGACTAGAGATAAGGCCAATAATTTATAATATATAAGTGATGTGAAAACTTCACCTTACAAGCCGTTTTGTGGGATTGAGTTAGGCTTAAAATCCCATTTTCTAATATGGTATCAGAGTCATGGTTAGAGCATATCCTAGCGAGTTCTAAGTGGACATTTTTGTTTCCACCCGTTGTCGGGCTGCTATTGGATCACCCCATTAATTTCTACTCTCACGCACGAGATGTCTATACCTCGGCGTGAAGAGGGTGTGTTGGAAGTCCCACATTGACTAGAGATAAGGCCAATTTATAATATATAAGTGATGTGCAAACCTCACCTTACAAGCCGGTTTTGTGGGGTTGAGTTAGGCTTAAAAACCTACTTTCTAATACCTCCTTGTGTGAAATTAGACATCTCATACTCCAATTGAAACATTTGAGTTGTGTTGTCTTAATGATATATGTTTTTAATATAATCACACGTGTCCTTAGCAATATTATAATGTCACAAATTAAGAATAAAATAAAGCTCAACAAAGCTAAGTATTCAGATCATGATTTAGGCATTTTTAGTTTTCCGTTTGTTCAAATTTGCTAGACTTGTAGGTGGTGGAATTTTGTCAGCAATATGACCCCATAAAACTTTGCCTTTGACAAATAATTTATATTGAAATT